TATTCTGAAGTAGTAGGCATTTTTTCTATCAATGAAACAAAGTGCAGGAGAAACTGGCTTCTTAATCACTACTTTAAATAAGTTCCCTATTTTGGCAAGGAAATAGAAAAAAAAAAAAAAAGAAAAAAGAAAAGAAAAAAAAAAAGGATTTTGTAATTGCAAAGAAAGTTGCTCCAGTGGGAGAAAAACCACTAAACACGGGGGGGCGGGGGGCACAAAGCCCTTCTCCCAAGTTAAGGCTACAAGCAGAAAATAAGACCTTCCATTCTCTGATCCTAAAGCATCACAAAAAATGTGCCACAGGAAAGCGATCTGTATGGGCACACCTGTGAGAGAACCCCCACAGACAGACTTTCTAGAATTAAGGACGAATCCTTAGGCTTTATCCACCATACATACCACTGGTCATGTGAGACACCTTTGCAAGTTTCTTCATCACATTGTCCAGCCGAGACTGAGTGCTCTCCAACTCATGAGAGAAATCATCCAGCATGCTAGAGAGAGAAGCAGGCAGAGAAGGGAGCTGATAAGCACCAGGCCTCAGCAGTGCACTGGCCACAGAATCACATCAGGTTGTAGGTCTTCGTTTAAGCAACATAAAATAGGCAACATTGGGATTCAGGATCCCAATCTATTATCAAAAATTCTTAGGACAAGATATGATTTCGATTTTGGAATTCTGGGGACTTAAAAAAGCCTAAGTTACATATGCTATATATTAGTCAACACCCCCAGCAGGGTCTGGGGCAGTCCCCATAATTAAATGCATTAATATTTCTGCAGAGAAAACTATGAGGAATCAAGGTTGCAGTCAGTTCAGGTGAGGTTTTTCTGTAATGTGAGCTTGCTGCAAATTAAAAAAAACAATACAATTCTGGATTTTTAGAGCTTTGTAGCTTTCAGAATTATAAATAAGGCATTGTGGACCTGGGTATACAATAATATGAGGTCAGTGGCAGTGCACTGTGATAGAAAGAAGGCCCTCTGAAGTCAGACAACTAGGCTTTCTTACTTGCTTACCCTGCTGCCTTGGACAAGGCACCTTACAACTCTTTGAGACTGCTTCCTCACCTGTGAAATGGGGCGATCCTATCAGCCCAACTTCCCTCACATGGTACTTGTGAGAATCATGTAATATACAAAAACACTTTATATTAATATAAATTAAGGACTGTACATTAATCAAACAATATTCCCCTGTAAAGCACTATGTGCTTTATTATAAATCTGGAAGGCCTTAGGACTAACATCCCCGATGGGTGTGTGTTGTTCCCATTAGAACTGGCTCCAGTAGCTTTACACTATTTGCTGTCCAATGTGCAGCTGGGAAAGAAAACACCAAAATACTCTTATTTCAGCAGTGTCTATTTCATAAATTGCTGAACACTCCAGACTTTTCAACTTTTGATTAATATATGATTATTCTGAGGCTAGAATGTAACATACCAACTAGTACCGGGGGTTTTACTAAACAGGCTTTAGTAATTGACAGCATCAATGGCAGCTAGAAACTACTGGTCTTGGTCTGTGCCCACACAGGACACGTGACAGCCCTGCAAGTTCCTGGGCAACCAATTACTCATTAAATTAACTATTAAAGTCCATGTTGATAACTAAATAAACAAGTCTTTGTCCCTTACCTGAAATTTCAAATTAAAACATTCTTAGCTCATCTTAAATCCTTGTGGCATCTTGGCCCTGAAGCTGGCAGGCCTATCCAGGCAGGACCAAACACTGAACACAAGATCTCCCTTTGTGTGCTAGGTATGACTCTTCTTACCGAAGGCAAAATAAGCATGTCATTCAACCTTCAACCCAAGGACATCCACTAAACCAAGTTTCTAGCCCATATCTACCTAACTCAATCCAACAGAAATTAATGAGAATCATATGTACCATTTTCTAGACACCACATTAAAAAATTAAACAGGTGAAATTAATTTTAACAATCTATTTTATTTTATTTTTATTTATTTATTTATTTTTTGTCCTTTTTGAGACCGGCCGCACTGTGCACAGCCAGTGAGCGCTGTGAGCACACTGGTCATCCCTATATAGGATCCGAACTCGCGGCAGGAGCGCTGCTGCACTCCCAGTGCCGCACTCTCCTGAGTGCGCCACGGGCTCGGCCCTTAACAATCTATTTTATTTAGCCCAATATATCTCAAATATTATCATTTTAACAGGCAATTAAATATAAAAATCATTAATAAGCTATTTTACATCTTTTTCATACTAAATTTTCAAAATCCAGTGTGCATTTAACACTGGGAGCACATATCAGAGTTACACAGATGCAGTTTAAGGAGACAAATAGTACTACCCAGCTTTTGATGAAAAACCAGTTGTTTCCAAGGGGCAAGTGCTTTCAACTCCTCACACTATTCTCTCGGTGCTTTCTCCACTTTTGGAAGCAACATGCTTGGACCTTGGGATCCTGATTTTCAGTCAGTCAGTTACTGACTCAAGCTTTTATTCCCCTCCTGTGCATCCTTCCCCCTTCCCTTCCGCCTTCCTTCCAATATAGCTGTGTCATAATTTAATGAGACTGATATTCAGTATTCACATTATGACTGAATAAATGCTGTTTGCAGTGGAGGGGTCTTGTGGTGAGAATCCTGGCCTCCCCACTGCTGGCTGAGCGTTCAGCTTTCTCTGGCCTGCTGAGTCCATCACCTGTCATCTATCTGCTCTCCAGGATCTAAAATGTTGGCTATTGTTTTTTATTCCATGCTCTGCGTTGCCTTTAAAAAAACCCTTTACCATTGTTGTATGCCTTTAAAAAAAACCCTTTACCATTGTTTTAATGGGCTTTAAAGAGGGAGTGGAGATAAGAGGTGTGTTCAATTCACCATCTGTAACTGGAAGTCTCTTGGGCTCTATTATCGAATACCCACCAAGCTGCCTCACCAAGAGAGCAGCTCAGGTCATTAGCCTCTTCCCACCCCTAAACGGAAACTCCAAGGTCAGAACTCATTTTAGGCAGAAAATAAACATGTGTGTCTAGATTCCTGCTATTCCAGCTTCCTACCTAGTCTCCCTGCCTGGCCCCATTCCGGTACATCATCTAAATCACAGACAGCTGGGCCTTTCCGACACCTGATCGTGCCATCACCCCTAACATCACCTTCACTGGTCTCTCACCATGCTTAGAAGAAAAAGTGCTACCTCCTCACCATGCTGGCAAGGCCTCCCCTGCTCTGTTCTCTACCTCCTTGTCTGGACCTCTGTGCTCCCCTCTCAATCCCCACGCTCGACACGTGAACCTCTGCTCCATGCACCCCCTCTCACCTCACTTGGCTATCTTCTCCACATCTCTCAGGTTCCAGTTAACCCCTCTTTCTCAGGGACCTTGGGCTAAGTTCGAGCTCTCCAGGTGGCACATATTGGTCCTATCGCAACGACCCTCCGCTTCACTGTCATCACTTAATGACTTGCCTGCATTTATACTATGTCTGTTCAACTTAGCAAGTGGCAAACTCTCCGAATAGCACAGACAGTGTTTATTCTGTTCGCTCTTAAACCCCCAGGGCCTCCCAGAGGGCCCGTTGTAGAACAGGTGCCCAGTAAGAACTTATAATGAGGGCCGGCCTGTGGCTCACTCGGGAGAGTGCGGTGCTGATAGCACCAGGGCCACGGGTTCGGATCCCATATAGGGATGGCCGGTTCGCTCACTGGGTGAGCATGGTGCTGACAACACCAAGTCAAGGGTTAAGATCCCCTTACTGGTCATCTTTTAAAAAAAAAAAAAAGAACTTATAATGAATAAACGTATAATGACGAACATCAGATTGAGATAGCCAAGTTTCTAAAATACCTTGGTGGGATGTCTTATTATTTTTCTTCACACAAAAAAATTTGTAGAACAGAAAAGGTATTGTGTGGAAGTACTGTAAGAATGCTGTTTTTGCTATCATACTTCAGAATGCAAAAGATATTGTTCTTAAGGAAAAACAAACCCAAGTTATGTTTTCTTGTTTTTAATTACTTTTTTTTTGAGAAGGAAAAATTTCTGTTAAACTGGACTTATGTTTATAAGTTGTTTCTTTTTTATAAAGTTACAATTTAATATGCGAAGCAAAAAGTTTTGTTCAATGTAGGAGGAAAGTCATGGGATGATAAAGTTAAGTTTGCTTATTTTCTGTCCTGTTCAGAACAAAAAATCTCCAGAGGTCACACAGCTTTATGTTTCACGTTCTCATTCATAACTATACTTCAAGTATCTGCTTGGAGGAATTTGTATCTGTTTTTAGAGGTGTTTAAAAATAATAACTTCGCCTTAACCCGTTGTGAATTTTATTGGATAGATTTGCTTCTTTGGGGGAGGTTAGTCTGTAAAACAGAAGAAAAATGCAGCTATAAATAAAATAGCTTTTTGTTTTACCAGCCATGTAACTGCCAGGCTTTTGAGGGTTTCACAGGATGGCATTTCCCCTCCATTTCACTGCAGCAAGAGGGGCATCTCAATACTCACACTGCCTGTTCCTCCAGCTCTCCTCCGATGCGCTGGGACATGTTCTTCAGCACCCCAATGCTGCCAGAGACCAGCTCCAACTGCTCATCCTGCTGTTCCACAATCAACTAGTGCCAGAGAAATGGGAAATAAGCAATTAAAATCCATCTTACCTGGTTCCAAGCCCAGCACTCTAGCAGCTGCTAGTTTTTTTGCCAACTTGGGACAATTCACATTCAGAAGCAAAGCCCAGAAATCAAAGGACCAGACCGTCGCCTCTGAGAACACACTGCTCTAAAGGATGGATTGTCACGCTACTGTTATCTCCTGCTGATCCAACTTGTGAACAGTCAGCAGGGCTTGCAACCACCAAGAGAGATTTACTCTTGTTGGCTGAAGTCCAATAAGGGAACAGACAATGGCCGAAAGCACACATGCAGATGACCACTGAGAAATGGGGATGTTTGGGAAGAGAAAGCCCATTGCCAAGGTCAAGGTCTAAATCCACAACAGACTGCCACTGCTTAAATACAAGAGCACCTGGCAAATCTCTGGATGTGGGAAAACTATGCACACAGAGTCTTTTCCTCTCTCTTCAAGGATACACCAGAGGAGGCTGTGTCACTGTTAAGTTACCTCAAGGACAACTACTGACTGGCAAATATTTACTTTTAATTGTGTTGCATTCTCCTAACTTTCTATAAAAAAAAGTTTGCTTGGTTAATAGCAATTAGGTAGACAACTGGTTAAGCAGACATGCTAATAAAGAAAAAATAAAAGAACACATAACCTACATGTACACATAAAACACGCTATTTAAGAACCAACAGTTTCAAAGGGTAGATGACCCTCAAATCTCCAAATACATTATTAGCTTCCTTTTATTAGTTTGGCTATATATCAAAAGCACCAACACAGACATAATCTACTTCGCTTTCCTTCTACACCTAAACCTCCAACAAAGCAATCATTTTTATATATAATGAAGCCAACAAATAATTTTGAATTAAAAAAGGGATTTTTCTGAAAGTGCCTTTGTTGAAATTGACAAAAAGCTGAATATACAAATGGAGGCTGGGGAAGAGGTTTTGTTCTCTTTTTAAAAAATCAATGAATGGCCTGTCTGTCAGTTCTGGATGTCTGATCTGCTTTTCCTAAGAGACCTAATCAAGCTTGGTTCTCTTGAAACAGTCGTGCTCTAAAGGTTTTAAAACGCTTTATACATCAGTCATTACACATTTAGACACAGTTAACTGTAGGCAACAAAACCCCATGGCAGACAGAGGACTTGGGGAAGTATCCTGCCTCCCACCTCCCCATCCTCAGGTGGTTAGTTCTCGGCAGTACCTGTTGCTGTGCCTGCTGCTCCTCAATGAAATGGGAATTGGCTAACTGGAGCTCTCGATCGAGGCGCCCATACGTATCTGTTGTTCCAGTGCTCCAGTTCTGGCTGCCACTATCTCCCAGCAGTGCCTATGTGAGTGGAGTCAGGAGAAACAAACAGTTACTACCTCTGAACAAGTGATACATCAAGAGTGACATAAAGAGCTCTCACATTTCCCATCATCTGTTCACCTGGGGCGGGCTTCTATGTAGTGGTCTAGGTTAGTGCCTGTGGCACAACTTAAGGAATGCCAGGAAGGACCTTCTCTGTCTCCAAGCTCTCTCACATGGGCTCTTTCCCCTTAAAATGCAAATAGATGTCAACAATAAATAAATAAACACGATCTCTTTTACAATTTAAAAGCATCAGGTCTGTATTAGAACAGCTCTTCCTAGCACCAGTGGAAGCTCACAAGAGATCTATAGGTTTTAGTCAAACTGATTTCAGAGATCTAGAGTCCTTTTTATTTAAGTATGACCCAGGGAAGTTTGGGGATTCCCCCCCCCCCACAGGGGGAGAGGAGAAGAGAGTTCCCTAGAATGATGAGAAGGTAAGTCATTGCCCCTCAAACACAGAAGGCCCAAGAACCATCAATGTCTGTTAATTTTAACCCATGAGTAAAACCCAATGCCCTCCAGTTGAACTAAAAGGCTACAGGATTCCCCCACAACTGAGGGTTGCTTCACCAGGCAGGTAATGACCACAAGGAATGCCTGACCCTGACAACCATGGCAAGTGCTACCCTCAACCAGGGCTCCTAGACACCAGGGTCACGTTTCCAAGTATGAATTCAAGGAAGCTTGTAACCAGAAATGGGTAAGTTTGGGAATGTCTTCCTTGTGGGAAAAGGCAAGTCAGCAATGTGAGAGCTCAGTTCTCAGCAGTTCGTTCTGACCGGGATTCCCCACAAGCTTTTCTGACTAGTCAAGGTGATTGCTCACACCAGGCCAGAAATGGGTAAGTTTGGGAATGTCTTCCTTGTGGGAAAAGGCAAGTCAGCAATTCGTTCTGACCGGGATTCCCCACAAGCTTTTCTGACTAGTCAAGGTGATTGCTCACACCAGCCCTGCACAAAGAACCAGAAGATGCTGGCAACTAAGCTTCTTTCCCCTTGGAGAGTTGCCAAATCTTCTTACTAGGTACTTTTTATCTCTGGCACTATTAAAAGCCTGACCAATTGCTTGGTTCTTTGAAAACCCCTCCACCAGCCCCACAACCTTCCTCTATATCAACACTGATCTCAACCTGACTTTCACAGGTGCCAGTCAAATGGCCAGCCCTCAGGGGCTAGGATCAGGGAAGATCAGGATGCAGAGCGCTAAGTTCTGAAGCAGTTATTAGAAAAGCTTCTAAGAAGCTCAGTTATTGAAAGCTCGTCTTATGAGAACTTCCATCAGCCCAGGACCTCAGCCCAGTCGAGTCTGGATGGTGACTGTCTCTGGTATAAAGCAGATCCAAGGCTTTTTGTGTTTGCCTCTGTCCTGCCCTGGTCTTAGTGCTGTAGAGATTAAAAAGATCTGTTCATTCTTATTCAAAGATTCTAAGGACTTCTATGGAGGCCACTGAGACCTAATGTCAATTTTTTCAGGGTCTGAAAGAGGCTACAGTGCATCACTAGTCTATAGACAGAGAGCTGGGCTTCCACCAGGGCCTTGTGTACTCCTGGGGCTGTAGTTTTTCTACATTATCCATGGTCTACACTTAGGTGAGACATATGTTACAAGTCATCTATGTTTTATTGTGAAGTGGATTAGAGTTCATCAGTCTGAACCCCCAGGAGTCTGTAATAACGGGAAAGAAGATGGAGACAGGTCCCCGACATTGGGAGATGAGCCTGTGTGTGGGTGCCGGAGTGGGAGGTGCTGGTGAAGCGGGGAGCAGCACAGCACCTGGCACCTCACAGTGAGGCTGACTCTACTCACTTGAGTATAGAGAAACCTGGCCTGCTATTCCTTGCAAATTTCTGACTCTATGACATTTCATTCATGGCCTAAAACAAAATTCCAAGCCGCAATTGGAAGGCAATATACAAATACCCATTTCATTTATGTTAGCTTCACTACACTACCTAGAGAATAAAACATTCAAATTAAAAATAATAGAGGATGAATGTTACCTACCTTGCTGTCACAACTACTTCAGGTACTGTCACTCAACTTCCTATAAGCTCAAGTGCAAACGAAACAAGAACTCCAAAACTGGCCAGCTGTGGCCATTCACTAGCTTCTTTCCAGAGTTAAAGCCAGATGGAATGGGATAGCTAATAGCTTTTCCTAGCTGTACTGTTCAGAAATAGAGCAAGGGAAGTAAATAAGAAAAAAACCCAAAACAATAACTTGAAAAATGAAATGCAGGTAAAGGAAACAAGAAAATTAAGTTAGGTGATATTTGTAGAACCCTGCTCTTCAAGTTTTTATAATACCTGTTTTTAAAATTAAGTGGCTCAAGAAATGCCCACAGGTATAGAGTAAGGATTTATCTTATGAGCCACTGATCCCTAGTTAATAACCAATTTCTCAAGAGGCTACTAAATGGACTATTGGTAACTTCCTGGAATCTGAATAGAATGAGGTAAAGACAAGTTCCTTAAAGCAAATAATATCATTTTCCATGAAGTGCTGTGACTTCTCATAAAGTCTTTCTTATTCCTAAGCAAAACAGATATTCACAAAATATATAAAAAACACTTCTGTCAAAAAAAAAATCTAACATTTTAACAGCAAATACCCATTTCATTTATGTTAGCTTCACTACACTACCTAGAGAATAAAACATTCAAATTAAAAATAATAGAGGATGAATGTTACCTACCTCGCTGTCACAACTACTTCAGGTACTGTCACTCAACTTCCTATAAGCTCAAGTGCAAACGAAACAAGAACTCCAAAACTGGCCAGCTGTGGCCATTCACTAGCTTCTTTCCAGAGTTAAAGCCAGATGGAATGGGATAGCTAATAGCTTTTCCTAGCTGTACTGTTCAGAAATAGAGCAAGGGAAGTAAATAAGAAAAAAACCCAAAACAATAACTTGAAAAATGAAATGCAGGTAAAGGAAACAAGAAAATTAAGTTAGGTGATATTTGTAGAACCCTGCTCTTCAAGTTTTTATAATACCTGTTTTTAAAATTAAGTGGCTCAAGAAATGCCCACAGGTATAGAGTAAGGATTTATCTTATGAGCCACTGATCCCTAGTTAATAACCAATTTCTCAAGAGGCTACTAAATGGACTATTGGTAACTTCCTGGAATCTGAATAGAATGAGGTAAAGACAAGTTCCTTAAAGCAAATAATATCATTTTCCATGAAGTGCTGTGACTTCTCATAAAGTCTTTCTTATTCCTAAGCAAAACAGATATTCACAAAATATATAAAAAACACTTCTGTCAAAAAAAAAATCTAACATTTTAACAGGCAAAAACATTCTCTCCCACCAAAAGAATCTCTACCAAATCTCAATCAAAATTCAAGTCTAAATTGCAGGTGACCATTGTGTATTTTTTTAAAGGACTATATTTAACAGTTAGAAAGGAGTTTCTATCAGCTAAGTGAATGATGACTGCAATACAATTTTTTTTTTTTTTTTAAAAAGAGGCTGTCAAAGTACTTATAATTTTCTAGGGCCAGCCTGTGGCTCACTCGGGAGAGTGCGGCGCCGATAACACCAAGGCCGCAGGTTCGGATCCTCTATAGGGATGGCCGGTTAGCTCACTGGCTGAGCGTGGTGCTGACAACACCAAGCTCAGGGTTAAGATCGCCGTACTGGTCATCTTTTTTTTTTTTTTTAAAGTATTTTATAATTTTCTGTTGGCAAGTAGACTATTGTATAGATGGAAACGTTAAGGTATTAGACTTTTAGAAACTTCTTCCAAGACCCATGATAAGTGAATGGTAGATCAGATGGTACCATAGCTTTTATAATTCCTAATGTGGTAAGTCAATAATAACCACGTTGCTTCAACTTCCAAAGCACTCACTGATTTAGCAAATACTTCTGGTCTAATATGTGCCTGGCACACAGCAGTGAATGATACATATTAGGCCTCTGCCGCGTGAGCTCACATCATAGTGATTTACCTGAGTCAGTGGCTGAGATGGTGTTAAACATGCAGTTCCTGAGTCCCCACATAGACCTAAGTAAGACTCTACAGTGCTTTTTAACAAGTTCCTGTGGTGAGCAGACTCTAAAGTGCTTTTTAACAAGTTCCTGTGGTGAGTCTTACCACTGAAACTTGAGAGGCTCTGGTATACACAAATTCTAGAAGCCTAAACCTGAGACTGTTATGCTAATACCCATGGACTACAGGATTCCTTTTCTAATTACCAATTAAATGAGAGTTTATTTCTATCATACACCACAACGTGTGTAATTTAAAAAAATACTTAAAATGAAGAGATAGTTAACACACATTTAAGTTTCCTCAAATGTCTTTACATCAAAGTTTAATCATTAAATGTCTAGGTGAGTTCTACAGGTAGGCAATGTAGTAACTGCTAGAAATTAAAAAAAAAAAAAAAAACCAAAAGAAGACCATGACATGATCCTTCCTCACTCTCAAGGAGCTTGGGGTCCAGCAGAAAGACAAGTAATTATAGCCCCTAGCAGAGAGCCTGGCACATAGAATGTGCTCAACAGGTGCAGAATAAACACATGAATGAAGTACTCTGTGATTAAGTGCTATAATAAGGGTAGGCAGAAGGTGCTATGGAGAAGCCCAGAAGTCCAGAGGAGAGGACCACAGGAGGAGGGGAGGGAAAAGTCAACAGCGGTGCTGGCACAGGCTGAATGGCCTTTCCACAAAACCTCCAGTGTTACTCAGGGCCAGCATGCATAGGCCTCTGCTTGAAGACATGATACACGGATAGTCAGCATTTTTATTTCCAAATATCTAGCCATACATTTTCTTTAGTTGATTCTTATATTGTGATGTTTTCTTACCTGTCTATTTTTTCTTTCAGTTAATGCCTGCACAGATGAAGTTGACATCTGATCCTTCATGTCCTAATGAGATAAGTAGAAGACCAGAAAACAAATGAAAAATATCCTTAGATTAAACAAAATCATGGTTAATATTTCACGTATTTTCACACATAACTATTACTTAAAAAAAAAAAAAAAAAAAGCATTCTTTGGCTTTTATTTTCAATCTCACAGTGAGCGAACCGGCCATCCCTATATGGGATCCGAACCCGGGGCCTTGGTGTTATCAGCACCGCACTCTCCCGAGTGAGCCACGGGCCGGCCCGACATTTTAGCCTTTGAACATTACATGTGAATGTGTTTCTGCCGTCAGAAGTGAGGACAGCGAGGGTAGAGGTAGTGACTGTACAGGAGCACAAGGAGGCTTCTGGGGATGCTGGGAATGCTCTGTAATGCTTCTGGGTGCTGCTTAGACAGCTGTGTTCAGTTCTATAAATTCACTGAACTGTATACTTAGGGTACATGCACTTTTCTGTACTGTTATACTTTAATTAAAATGTTAAAAAAAAAATACTACTGTTCCCAAACAATGAATAGACAGTAAACTGGACCAACGCCTGAAAATAAATTTGTCATTTTGTATCAAGAGCCTCAAAAAATTTTCTGCCTTAACCCAGTAATTCCATTAATAGAAACTTATTTTAAGGAAATAATATAAAACATATGACAAAACAGATATGCAAATATGTACAGTGCAGTGTTATTTATCACATGAAAAGTAGAAATAAGCAGCATGTCCAAATTAGTGAACAGCAAAATTCACAGTAAATCCACACAATGTAGTATTATGTACTAGACATTATGATTATGAACAGAGTTCAGTGAGCAGACAATTCACAAAAAACCCTACAAATGATCAAACATGAAAAGATGCACTAACACATTAATAAACAAAGAAGTACAGCTAAGAAATATTTTTCCTAATTAGACCAGGAAAGATGAAAAAGATCAATACTACTTAGTGTCAGTGAAGGTGTTAAGAAATATAGAATCTGATACTCTGCTATAAGAAATATAATTGATAAGGTCTTCTTGTATGATATTTTGAAAACATTAACCAATATTTAAAATGTATATTCTCAATGACTTCTTTACTACTTAAACAAATATCTAGGTTATGCCCACTAAGATGGTCACTGATGTATGGTTTCTGATTGCCAAAAAATTAATGACAACTAAAATATCTACTGGTAGATCAAGGATTAAATAAAACATAACAGAGCCAGATTAGAGAAGAGGTTAAGAGTGTGGTCTTTCATGTCTAAGCGCTGGATTCAAGACTCAGTTATGGAGCTGGCCCGTGGCTCACTCGGTAGAGTGCGGTGCTGATAACACCAAGGCCGTGGGTTCGGATCCCATGTGGAGACTGGTTCCCGCTCACTGGTTGAGCGCGGTGTCGTTTTGGGAGACGAACTAGT